AATATTGGATCTTTGGAGCCAAAGTTTTGACCCTGTACTAAAGCTCTCGCTTTTTCCAGGCAGTTCAGGTAATTATTTCTGCTATTCCAAAGGTGAAATGGTACAGAAATATTATCATATTTCAGCTAGGAGATCACCTGACTCTGAGTCTGGGTAAACCTGAGGATCCAGAGGACACAGCACTGGTTTGTTTCCAACCTTTCTCTCACTCTGCTGCCGCTGAGCTCTGCCTGTGGGCACAATAGATTTGACAGAAGAGTGCTGATGAATCTCATCAGTTTAATGTGTTTATGCTCGCTAAGCCCTAAAAGCTTATTGCTGTTCAATGGAGTGCTACAAAGTTACCTAATTTCCCCCCGGTTGTCTCTCAGCACGCTGACAACACAGACTCCCAATAGCACGATGTACTTTGCAACCTGTAGAAGACAGAAGGCACGCTGTGTCTCAGTGATTTGTGTTATCGGGCAGAGAATAGACCTTGACAGAAATACAGTGAGCACAGATATTACTGTTTTTTCCACCTTAAATTCAGCCCATGACTGTCTCTCTCCCTCCACATTGATCCCTTTTTACAGCCTTTTCACAGTAAGTGCTTTAGTCTTATCTTCACTGCCCCCACCTCGCCTGTCTCATATTCTAACCAATGAGGCTGGCTGCCTATATGACAGCTAACACCCAGTATTAATTAAAATGTCATGCCTCCAAATCAATATTGTAAAACAGTTCAAACACAACTCATCGCCACTGCTGTGATAAGTGCTTTTGGGTGACAGGTAAGTCCAACCAAAGAGATGCAGGAGAATGGTACGACGGAATAATCCAGAGAGAACATGTAACATTAAAATGTATGACCCCCCTATGTGTTACTTCATCACTCACAATTGCAAATTATTCACACTGTCATGAAGTGTGCTGCGCTAAACTGACAGATCCATATGTCAGCAGCAACAGGCCAGGAGGCTCGAGAACTCTTTAGCTTCAGATGTCTGACTGCACTGCGTTAAAAGAGACTAATACACACTCATTTGGGAAGGAGGCTGTCAGAGAGGGATTTATCAGTGCTGCTAAAATAGCTGCAATCCATTTGATTATGTTCATGTTAACCCTGCTGTGTTGGGACAAAAATACAAAAAAAGGATGCAAGTTATTACCCCTATTTTCAGTGGACTTCTGTGACACAAGGTTAAGGCTTTTGCCATGAAAAGTTTCCATGAATTAAACAACGTTTTTCCGCAATATTCCAACTATTATGAGTGACAAATAGGGTAGATTCAAAACTTTGTGAGGCTGTACGTGTTCACACATACTCACTGAAAGACATTGTTCAAAACACTGCTCAGGATATGGATAAAATGTGACAAATTCTGTCAGAGTAAATATGGTTTAATAAATGAATTAGCTTCATAAATAATGGCTGTAATGACATTTTAGGGGACAATAAGCCTAAGCGTTGTCAGGAAATAGTTGATGTATGAGTTTCATGCCTCAGCGGTTCCTCAAAATGAATAGGCTTGGGAAGATAGCAGGGGCCTGCAACCAGCCTATTTCCTCGAATTATCTACTTGTTGTCAATTTGCACAGTGGAATTACACATGCAAATTGAACTGCCTGCACAAACACCACTTGGAGATGATAAAAACAAATTAACAAAGGCTATAGAAGGAGGATTTATTTCACTGGCTAACCCAGGTCAAGCAATACATGTATTTTACAATTGTGTGTACCCATTTTTTGGTGTAATTATATCAGCAATTTATTCTTTGTAATCGTATTATTTTTCCCCAACCTTCTCCTTACACACATAATTAACTTCCTTCACATCCACACAAAAAAATCAGCTTGCCTCTGCATCAGAGTAACACACTTTAATCTGATTTGGGGTTCATTCTTGTCACCTTTTTGCAGCTGTAATTCAGAGGAAAGTGAGAGGTCAACAGTTTAGTGACACTGTTTAGCGTAACCACTTGGTAAAGGAGCAGACACAGAGCAGAAGTCACAATGTTAAAATATATATAATCACCTCTTAACATCATCCCTCATATTGGGGAGGAAATTAAGAGTCCCTGGACCTCCACGTTTGCTATTAGATATCTCATTTACTTTGTACACACAGTGCTAATCTGCACTAATGAATTCTGCCACACCAAGCCAGATCGAGATGACTTAAAATTATTACCACTTCCACAGATATGCCTTTCCTCATTTGAGGCTCAATTTGGCTGGCTCGCAAAAACAGTCTGTCACAGTAAGATACTAATAATTAGGGTTTTAAGATGATTAGTTTATCTCTGTGCTCTTACAGTCCTGCCTCTTATCCACCATGGCCAAAACTTAATAAGAGGCTCTAAGTTTTAAACAGCCAACTCCAAATTACCAAGAAATGACGGAAATAATGAACTGGAGCCCATGCCAGGGAGAGAGACAGAGAAAAAGGGGGAGAGACACAGAGATGGATGGTGGGAAAGCTGAGAGACATTAATTCAAGTGTGAAATAGAACACAAAGTCTAGTAATCAATAAGGAAAGGATTCAGACCTGTAATGCCAAAATTGTTTAGTATTAGCAGGACTTTGTGACTCTCGTTTACCTTCAGCCGCTGCCCTGCTCATCAACTTGTCACACATGTAATTAAAGTAAGGATAATGCTGAGTGAGTGATACGAGTTAATGGTTGCATGTTTTAGAGGATGATAGAGATTTTACATGTTCGAGATGACATTTAATATAGCATAAGCTTCATCAGCCCAGTTTAATATGTACTGCATTTTCCAAAGCTGAACTGTTTAAATCTCCCATCTTAGGGTACACGAAGGTCAAGGAGAGGCCAAGGTCTCCTTTACATTTGGGCCAGAAGACAGGGCTGGGTGTCAAACCTCCATACTTTTGTGTAGTGACTAAGCTGTACTCTTAGCACTCAGTATTTTCTTATTCTTCGACAGTTTCAGATTTTAGGGGCTGTAACTGAATATTATTTTCGGTTTAAACAAGGAATGCACCGAATGTTCGGCCAACGAAATTAATCGGCCGAAAATAGCCAAAAAAAAAAAGCAATTTCGGTGTTCGACCTAATAAAACAAAAGACTGCAGTAAAATTTTACCGAACAATTACGTTGACATGTGTGGAAGCATTTTAAAGTGTCCAACAAAGACGCAAAAATCGCCGTTTGCAGACACTGTTCTGCTGAATTGTCTCCTAGCACATCCACACCATCTGTTGCTGACTTCTTAGAAAAGGAAACAAACAGTCTGACAGGCTTTCAGTTTCTGAGAATGCGATTAAGCTAGCCGCACCTAAATTTGGAGTGCACACGTATTCAAGGCTTTATGGTAAATCCAGTGAAACGGCCCAGAGCGAGCTGACAGGCAGGTTAGAGACTTTATCCTGTCACTTTCTCTCTTTACAAAGAGAGGTGTTGCAGCATGAGAGTCCTACCTGAAGAGAGGCTGTGAAGTTTTCATGTTACACATACAACATTATTTATCAAATTGGGTGGGACTTGATGAGTTAGCACCAGGATTCACTTGTCCGGTTTTCAAAATAAGGTGTCTATACAGTATGGACATATAAGATTAATTGGATTATATTCACAGAAAGTATAAAACATATTACAGGTGTACATTAAAAATAAATGGACACATTTTAATTGTAATTTACTTTACCGGACCCTCTTGGCCCTCTGACCCACCCACCATAGTCTCTTCAAATCCTGTTGGAAACACTGAGTAAAAAGCACATTTTGTCCATTTCATTTATGCAATGGTAAAAAAAAAAAAATAAAGGAAAAATAAAGGAAAAATGTGTTAAATGTGAAAAATGGTTTTGGCCTTGGCCAAGAATTTTCATTTCGGTGTATCCCTAGTTTAACTGTAGATTATATTTTTAATTAATCAATTAATCATTTAGTCTATAAAATGTGAAAAAATAGTTAAATATCAAAAGTTCCCAGAGAACAAAATGAGGTCTACAAATATCTTGCCTGACCAACAGTCCAAAACCCAAAGATAATTAATTCTGTTTATTTTTTCCATTTGCTTGAGAAGCTGGAAGAATGTTGTCAATTGTTGTCAATTAATTTTCTGTTCTGGATTAATTGTGTAAATGGGCACTTGTTTCAGCGCTTTCTGCTTCAAATCTAAATTTTGCCAATTTTAAACTGTATTTTATTCAGGCAAAGTTTATGTATGGTTGCTTAACATTTGAGAAGGTTGGCCACTTTTGTTAAATGAAAAGAATAGCAAATCATCAAAAACAGACAAAGTTCAATCAATCAGTTATCACTACCAGACAGTCCTATACAACACTGCTGGTTTACCTAAAATACTTTTCCTTCCAGATACTTCGTTTCTTTTTTCCCTTACAGTGTCTAGCCTAACCTGATCCTGGCTATTGACCTATTTATAGGCTATACATTGGTGTTATAGGTCTCGCTCTTTATTCTACATTCATATGCCACACAAATTACAGGCTTTAATTTATGTAGATTATTGGCTTTGCAATAAGATGCAACCAAAAGAAAGCCTAGTGTGAATGAGTGTGAAAGAGCAATTTAAGGGTAGATGTGCCTGTGCCTGTGCCAGGGGCTATACAAGATTTGCATGCTAATCATTCTAATAATAATGTAATGCCCAAAGCACTTTGAGCAAATTGCTAACCATTGGTCATAGAAGGAAGCTTATCTCACCAAGAACATGACACAAATATAGGTTAACATTTGAATGATTCTTGGTAATTCACGGACCTGTCAGTAGCCTGTTTCACCTCAATTAGAAATGCTCAACAACCGCCTGCTCTTGACTTTACTTCACTGCTCAGACTTGCTTGGACTGCTATAACTCTTTAAATATGCGGTTCCATATGTCTAGTCAATACAAACGACAAGTTAAATCAACAAAAACCACAAAACCATTAAACTCTGAACTGTTAAATGCTGTTCTTACCACAACCCCCCCCAGCCAATAAGAGCATTTGTGCCGTCCTTAGCTATCAGCCAATCGCTGCGTTCCTACTTGAAACGTCACAATGTTTACCCGGAAATGAGAGCTAGCCCCAACAACTGCTCAGATTTTATAATTTACCTATTTCTGACGGTTTTTAGTCTAGTGAAAAGATAAATTATCGTATAATCTGACTGCTGACACGGAATGTACAGCGGACTCCTGCCCGAAGGTTTAACGGAAGACGACCTCAGTCCAGATGACGAGGAGGATGAGCAGGAGAAGTGTGAGACCTCCGCTGAAAAGTTGAGCTCTGCCGGGGAAAACACGGGCTCACTTGTGGAGGCACAGTCGGTTCACGCTGCCAGCGATGCAGACATTGAGTCCCCGTCATACAGTATGCCTGGTATATCCCAGGAAATGTGGCAAGTAAGTCGATTTGGTATGCCGTGAGCTAAGCTTAGCAGTAGCATTCACTCTGAAATACAAGCTAAGTTAGCTGTAGTGTACCTGTGAGGGTAGCGATTTACAATTTATTGAAATTCAGAACAAACTGTGCTTAATTAAATGTTTTTAAGCCCTGACGGACTGTGTGTCTGTGTCATATCATGATGTGTATTCAAGGGTTGTGGTGCTCTTGTGAATTCTGTCTGTGTGTGTGTGTGTGTTTAAGAAATTCCAGGATCTACGGAAGAAAAGTGACGAAATTAAGACAATGAAGGTCCCCAGAAGAAGAAAAAGAAGACGACACAAGAAAGTTGGAAGTGGTAATACAATCAAAATGTAATGTTGATGTAGAGCCAAAATGTCTGCTTCTGTTAGTGTGTATTTTGCCTTGTTCAGTGGGCTTCAAGTCAGTATGTAATCAAAAGGAGCACAATAAAAAATAAAAATTACAAACCTCACACTTACCCGTATTAGAACTTTAGATGACCCTCTTAATATATAATACAGCACCATATTGGCACCAGTTAAACTTAATGACTTCTGGGTAGCTAATGCTAATTTGTGTCATACTACAAACCTTCAACTGTGTCTCTTGTGTCATTCAACAGGAACAGAAAGTCAGGAACCTACAGAGAAAAGGTACCACATTATAATGTCCAGCCAAAGAAATGAGTTTATACCCCAAACGATTCATGTAATTATTCCCATGCAGCTGTGGCAAATGTGGCAAATGTGTAGCCAACAGGCTGGACTGCCAAAATAAAAAGCTGCAGCCAACACCGAAATCTCAGATATCGGACCTTCACACCAATTTTCAGCAACACTTATCACATAATGATAACATTTTACATACAAAAAATACATTGGACTAGTTACAAGCATGCAAGCTGATCCTTATAGCATATTGACAGACAGAATTCAGTGGCTGCCTGTAAGGTAGAAAAAACATATACTGTGCTTGGCAGTATATGAAACAGGGATCCTTTATAGTTAGGAATTATTTGCTAAATCATCTACAGTATATGTCGTCAAGTTCTGAACATCAACCAGTGTAGCAACATAGCTGTATTGTGTTGAGGGAAGTCTGATGAGGTAAAATGTGCAAACATTATACCTTTTTACCAGCGCTAATGACATTACCATGCTGTGTGACACTCATCTAGACATAATATAGATCTGATCAGATCGGATCACAGATCAGCATAGTGATTGAAATAGAGTCCAGTTGTTGGATGGACACAGTGATAGCTTGCCTTGTCACAGTGCTGGTCTACATGTAATGAACATTCACACACATTTTCTCTGTCAGCAGAGAGCGTCAGGAGGAGCGGGAGAAGCACTGGGATGAGCTTAAGCAGTATTTTGGTGTAAATGATCGATTTCACCCCCCTGCATGTTCCAAACCCCCTCCGAAGGTAACAAAGACTCCTGCCTTCCAACTTATCTGCTGAGGTTTAATACTGTGTCAGTCGTAGCTGTTAGTAACACCTTCCCTTCCTTTGTGTTTCAGAGGCACTCTATCCTCTCATTGTTTTATGTGATATGACATTAGGATTAGAAGAATCCTTATGGTAACTCGACCTGACACTGAGATGAATATGAAGGATTATGTCTGGCTACATTTAGTGATAAGATTAGGATGAATCTCCTTTCTTGTGCGGTTGAGATTAAAGTCAGATGTAGGTTTTTCCTCTGCAAGAAATCTAATGAAAATCCAAATTTTGCTTGACAAAAGCAGAGAGGGTTAGCGTACCTGATACAGCCTCGGTGATTGCAGCTAGAACATTTAAATTAATGTTTAGATAATAAATGGGCATGAACCACTGCTGTCATAATTGAAGAAATGTAACTTTCTTTCTTTCGGATGCATTTCTGTAATTACAGATGAATGAACATTTTATGCAAAGGCTTGTAAAGTGCCAATGAAGCAAAATATTTGCAAGCCTGATGAACATTATAGCTGACCCAGTGAATAGGAACTATTCTCATTTCAATTTGAAATCCTTATTATGATTATTTTGGAGTATTTTGTGCTTAATTTATCTCAGAGCAGCATAAAATTGAGTTTTTGCAGATTTTAGCCTCATTTCGAATAAGTCAACTATGAGTATAAAAGAAATGATTAACAAGCTGAATGAAACAGAACTTGTCACATCAACATAATGAGGGACTCCTTCATCCCTTTAATGCAGTTCCCTGTAATTAATATATCTTTTTTTTTATTTCTTAAGTCTTTCACACAGTCATAGCAGCCAGATGTGAGTCATTCATCTGCTAACACAATTTCTTCAGCGACCCTAAAAACACATTTCATGGCACATGGCATGATGGTCTGTCAGTTTTGTTTGTGTGATACAACAGACGATAATTGAGGTCACAAGTCAGGTTGTATCAGTGTCAACTTCAGTTTATAATGTAGAAACTAAGCAAATTCAAGACCAAGCAAGTCGAGTCACGGAGAAAATTGTTTGACTAATTCTGTGTTTTCAAGGCTGATGGGATTGTCCCTTTACTTTTACAATTGAGTGAAAACAATACATCAGAAGAGGCACATTAATAATTACAGCCTCTTTTCAGTGCATTTTTTAGCATGATGAAATTTTGGGGGGATGAAGAAATCTGCTGCTCCGCTTCCTCAGATAGGCTCATCACAGCAGAACTGCCTTGCCATCAGTAACCGGGGGCTTGTCTGCACCCCTCTCTGCTTAGGCCTGTAATGGAAATGTGTAATTAAAGAGTCACATTTATGTTTGGTAATCTCCTGTAGCATTTCTAAGATTTCCCACTAATATCCAATCAAAAAGGGTTTCATTTGTGAAGGGAAATCTACATATTTGTAGTAATGGCAATCATATTAAAAATAAGGCCCTGGGGACTTTTGAAGTTACTCTTTGATTTTTTTTTTTTTCTCTCTACCCCTATTTCAAAAAAAAAGAAAAAAAAAAAAAATCTGATTTTTTTTTTTCTTCCTCTCTTCTCCAGTCCGGCCTAGAAAAGAGCATAGAGAGGGCCATAGCTGAAGGGGACATTGCAAAGGCGGAGGAATTGAGCGACAGACTCGCCACTCGAGAGGTACGTTGTGCTGATAAGAGATCTTTGGGGTGCTCCTGCTGTGACAAATCAGGCTAATGGATCCGTGGCCATTTCTGCTGCAAAGACATAGAGGAACAAAAACACACGCAGACACCCACCATTCAGTCCTGCAGCCCTTTTCCATTGAGTTAATGGAAAGCCCTCCCCTTAGTTTTGAAGTGCTGCAGTGTCTAAAGGACTTTTGGCTCTGCTTTTTAATGAAGGGTGCATTGCTTTCAAGCCAACTGTTAAATCATTCTCCAGGTAAGAGTTTCATACCTTTGAAGTGTACATGTCCCTAAATGCGGTGCCTGAAGTTTTGTAACTAGCCGCCTTGGCAGGCATCAAGGATCAAGTGGTTTGAAACTAATTTAGCATAACATGTAGCCCACACACACTTATAATTGTGGTTAAAAAGACATACAGCTTCCATGTTACTTCTCCACTGGGGGAATGGCTCTACTCTGAGCATCAAAGTTAAACTTCTTTGTTTCACGATGCATGTTGCTTACAGCATCCCATAAGCTTTTTCATCTTGTAACAGGAGCAACACAAACATGTAAAACACTGTGGGCTCATATTTCATTTCAGTCTGGGATTGCTATAGAGTTGCAAAGTAGGCAGGGCTGCTGGGTCAGGAAGTATTTTTCCCCAGTATGAATTGCCATTTTACGTTTTTCTTCTAATAATATCACCAATGTTTCTCGACATAGAAACACGGGATTCTCCTGTATAACGTACTAATCCTATACTGTAGGTTTATGTTATGGTCGCCAGTTTTAATTCTTCAGACTTAATTTCCAAGAAATCCTGTTTTGTCTGTTAGTTTAGCATGGCGGGCAGCTTTAAATACTACAATACCCATAAGCCTCTGTTGCCAATGCTATGGATGAAGAGTGATTAAAGAAGGGAGTTGTTGCAAATTCAAAATGTTTTGTTGTTGTCAACAAAACACAGTACTGTAGTTGCTTAATAAAATAATCTATAATTGTATTGATTTAAAGGAATAGTTTACATTATATGGATCAAAAAGCTTGAGGCAGAATTATTCCCATACAAATGCTAGTTAAATAAATTTGCTTATCATAATGAAGTACTCCGCTTAAAGTACGGAATATTTAATGAATCTTTGTTTTCAAACTCTGCTACCAGTTTGGCATTGAAAGCCTACAGTTTATTTTCAGGCCTGTTTAAACTTTGGAAATGCACTGAAACCACTGCCAAGCTGTGGCTTAGTAGCCTGTTTGCACTTCTGACATTACTGTATTTGTAAACAGCACAATCCTATTTTAGGCAATAGCCTAGTTATAACTTTAACTACAGTAAGCTATATTTTATATTGCATATTAGTACTGCATAGTGTATTTGAATTATACACAGGACAGTTATTTCATTTGTACAGTAATTTTAAAAGCTGCACTGTATTTTGAAACAGTCAATGAAATTCAGTAAACGTGAAGCTGTCTGTTTCAATACTTAATATTTATGTAATAAATATAAAAATGTCTTTGAATTAGATGGTAACCTGCATGAGAAATAAAGAAAAAAAAATAGTTATAACAATTATCTCCTATAGTGATCAGTTTGACCAAGACAGACGTGATCTCATTAAGAGGTTTCCACTGTATTATAAAACTGTCTTAACAGTTTGTCAACAGGTATGTCTGAAATATGCTGATCCTGCATAGTGCCTAGCTCTCTTTCACTGTATAGCCTGAAAAGACAAATGCCTTTTAGAACATATATGCCTCTTGTGTGTCATGCCATTTGCCTGCTTCTTTCCCATTGTTTCAGGAGAGGCCAGGAGAAGCATGCCACTACTTTTTTAGTTTTCATATTCTTTACCTCCTGAAGTCTAGAGCTAGAGCCAGCAACCAGTTAGCTTAGCACAAAGGCTGGAAACAGGAGTAAGTAGCTAGGCTGGCTCAGTAACTTTCTGGAGTTTCCACTGGTTGCCTGGCAGCTACTCTCAGCCATGTAACATAAGTGCTGTGATTAGATGTTTCTCCATGAAATATACTGTAGGAGTCGTGTTCAGCTTCTCATCTCATGTTTTTATGTCCAGGTGCTTGTACCTTTTGACTACTTATCAAAGAAGAGAGAGTTTTTGACTTTTGTACTGATGATAAACGAGGTGGGTTACATGCCCATCCCAGCCGTAAAAGTGCTCCAACAGTCAGTCACGTAATATTTTCAATGGAATGAATGAATGGGCTATTTACCTGGAACCAGGGTGCCCAAAATAGCTTCTTCCACACTGTTTTTGTCTGTTGTACTGATGATTAAACCAGGCGGATACAGCACTGCCACAGTGAATCCTAAACCGTAGGAAACATCACTTGACCTCTAGACTAGATGTGTCAACCCAAACGATGACATTCAGCAGGAAATGATGCCACAAACTGTAAACAGGAATTCAGAATATGTGCTTGCATGAGATTTTATTCCTGTAAAGTATATCCTTTTCCTGGAAAAGCTTACTCTCTTGAATGATTAAGTAGACTCCAAAAACAAGGATCTGTGTTTAAAAAAAAAAAGAAGGAAAAAAGCAGTTGTACTATTCATTGAAATGGCATTACATGCGTGGCCCTGGTAACTCCAGTGTATAATAGACATTAGTGTGTGGCATCAGAGCCCTTTCATATTCCCATCTTAACTGCTAGCAGAGTGGTCAAATATGGGGGACTTAAATGAAAGCTCTTGTGAGTGGCACCTGCACTGTGCTTTCAGAAAGCCTCTTAGAGCGCCGGTGGATTGGTTTTTAGACTGAGCTGAGGTTCTCGCTTCCCTGGCACCTGCGTCGCGTCTTGCCAGAACCGTGATGGGCCGTGACAGCAGTCTGGCAGCCACAGCTCATTGTTTAGCAGTGATAACTTCATTTCACGAGAGTCAATTGACCATTTTGAAATCCCCAAAACCCCGGTGATGTAAAGTTCTTTATCGTTCACTTTTGAATACAAAGAAAGACCGTGCTGAACATATGGAAATTATTAAGAGAAGGGGCAGCTAAAAGCCAAAAAGTTTGAAGGATTCTGAATCAGTTAGAGAGGATTATATTATATCTTGAACGATGCAGCCTGTAATGCAGATAGCATTAAGACCAACATGTTTGTTTACAGCACTCCTGTTCACTTTTGACAGCAGCAGTGTGACAAACATTTAGAGGATCAATAATCCCCACTGTGGCCAGAATCAATTTCAAGGTTATAATTGAGTGGCTCATTTGGCACGGAATGGCTTAGATGTTTAATTTGTTTACGGTCATAACACCAAGACATGATTGTGGCAGGCTTTTCACTGGAAGAATAGGAACAGGTTTTCTTCGCAAAAAAATGCAAAAGCATTCTGACAGCTGTGAGGAAGTAAAGAGGCCTGTTTGTCCCTCTAGGCATTGTTTTGTAAAGAAAACGCTAGTACATTTTGGATGACAATGTTTCAGTGTATTTTCATCCTCAATCTAACGGTTTCCCACTTATCTCCTCAAAGCAAAGGGAAATGGAAGGAAGATAGAGAGCTTGCTGTCAGAATCCCCCCTTTTATGAGACGTAAATGTTTGTTTCTGCTGTTTTGAGCTCCCACAAATCAATTAATGATTTCCATTTGCTCTACTTTCTTCTTTTAATCTGAACATTAAAACAATTTGGGAAAAACCTGTTTTGAAGGCTCTTTACAAATTCAGAGATGTGCGTTCTTTCATCTGTCAAACTTCTGAGCCACGCTGCTTGGAAATTGCAGGTTGAGGTTTTGTATTCTTATTACAGTTTTTAAATATTTCCCAAGGCTGTAAGTCTTTGTTTTAGATGAATTCATGAAGACGTTCTCTGTTTTTAAGTGAAAGTATTAACGCCCACGAAGATGGCACAATGAAATCACAGTCCCTTTTAGGTAACAAAATATTGTTTATGTCTACATTGCTTAGACAAAGCTCCCTAATGTATTCCTTTAAACTGTGCAGATAGGGTTTCTTTTCTCATAAAAATGTCTGTTGATACTTCTCAGCACGTTTAGATTTCTTTCCACAAGTCTTTAGAAGACACAAAATGATGTTACAAGCTTCTCGCTTCTAAAGTCGTCCTAGTAGTTCAGTAGATTAAAAGGTGCAAGTCCTCCAATTAAGAAGACTGGGTCTCCATCCTTTGATTACTGCACACTATTTTACTCCGCTGCAAGTTGCATATGGGCTAATTAATTCAGTAATTAGCATAACATAGAGTGACTGACACATACTGTATAGTCTAAATGGCTTACAGCCTGTCAGGAGCCTTGATAGCATCCAGTAGCTCATATTTGACAGATTGAATATGCAGCTGTTCCTGGTAAATGAGCCGGTGCAAAAAGCTGATAACTCATCAGTATTACAAAGCACGGTGGGGCTTCCTATGTCATCGAAAGTGCAGTGTGAACTAATGTATTGTATCAAACAGATAGCCTCGTCCCAGGCCATGTAGGCATTTATACACATGATCTGCTGTAGAATACTGAACCCCATTGTAGGGATGCACTGAAATGAAAATTGTTGGCCGAAGCCGAATATGATGAAAAAATTTGCCAAACACCGAAGAAGTACATTCACTTTTCTTTTTTTTTTTACCATTGCATAAATTAAATAGTCAAAATGTGCTTTTTACTCAGTGTTTCCCACAGGATTAGGAGAGACGATGAAGGGTGGGTCCGAGGCCCAAGAGGGTCCAGTAAAGTAAATTACGTGTGTCCATTTACTTTTAATGGACACATGTAAAATGTTTTATACTTTCTGTGAATATAATCCAATTAATCTTATTTCCATACTGTATAGACACCTTATTTTGAAAACCGGACTAAAACCGGACATGTGTATCCTTTGCGTTAAATTCATCAAGTCCGACCCAATTTGATAAATAATGTTGTATGTGGTGCTCGTATTGTGTAACATGAAGACTTCACAGCCTCTCTTCAGGTAGGACTCTCATGCTGCAACACTTGTCTTTGTAAAGAGAGAAACTGACAGGAAAGTCGCTAAC